GGAGGGAAGGAGGGAAGGAGGGAAGGAGGGAAGGAGGGAAGGAAGGAAGGAGGGAAGGAAGGAAGGAGGGAAGGAAAAGTCGAGAGTATCCTCAAAGGTTCCAGCTGTCAATTGTTTAAACAAGCCTGACACCCCGCCCCCTCCCAGCTGGGAGGACTTGCTCCGTAAAGGAACCACACCTCTGCTGCCTGCAGAAAGAGGACCTGTAGGGGTTGGGGGTGTAGCTCAGGGTAGAATGCTTGCCTGGTACATAGGTGAGACCCGGGTTCCATCTCCATCACCGGGAGGGAAAAAAAAAAGTAACAAATCTCGCCTACTCTAACATCATGGCCTGACCAGTGTTTAAAAGCAACTCCCAACCCCCTTTATCTCCTCAGGTACTTTCAGGTTTAAGGTAGGTATATGTGTTGTTATCCCCTTTTGACCAGTGGAGAAGCTAAGGCACAAGGATTCCCAGGTAATTGCCGTTACACATAAAATGCTTAGAAATAGGGCCGGGGATTTGGCTCAATGGAACCGCGCCTGCCTCAAGAGCGCAAGGTCTCGCGTTCGATCCCCGGTACAAAACAAAACAAAACAAAAACCCCACAAACTTATAAATGGCACCGAAATGCCAAAAACTCGTCCAAGTCTCACTAGCTTGCCCTGGCTTCTATTTCCCTATCTGTTTTTTGTTTTGTTTTTGGTACCGGGGATCGAACTTGGGAACTTTTGCTTGCGAGGCAGGCACTGGAACCACTGAGCTAAATCCCCGGCCCTTTCCCTATCTGAAAAAGGGGGCATTACGTAGTCTGTCCTCCCTGAAAGGCGAAAGGCGCGACGGCCTCGTGGGGGGGGGGGGGCTTGGAGGGCGCTGGGGAGCCCGGGAGCCCGGGAGAGCCCGCCAGCCCGCGCCCGTGAGGGGTTTCGGAAGCCCGCGCGAGGTGGGGACGAACCGGGCGCCGGCCCTCACCTGCGTCATAGAAGGCGTCAAGCACAGCGGTCTCCCCGAAGTCGAGCTCCCCGAAGGCCACGGAGGTGAGGTGGGCGCCCTCCGCCTCGCAGGCGTGAAGCAGGCACTGAAGCGCTCCCGCCTCAGGGCAGTCGACCACGGGGCTCTGGGCGTTCTCACCGCGCACATAAGTCACGCGGACAACCCGCCGCGGCCCGCCCGCCGGCCCTCCCGCTCCCGCGCCCTCTCTGAGACCACTCCTCAGAGCGGCCGCCGCAGCCCCGTCGTGTTCCATTGGCTCTGCCGCGCCCTCAGCCCTGCGCCCCCTGGGCCTCAACTGCCCCCGAGGAGACTCCTGAGCCTCCGCCGGGCCGGCCTCGTCGCCGGTTTCCATGTGACAACCGGCGCGCCCTTTCTCGGTCCCACCTCAGAGAGACTAGAAGTCGCGACCAGTGCGGGGGCCACAAACTGAGGCGGGCCCCGCAATCCCGGCACCTGTCTTGGCGCGCGGGACGCGAGGTGAGGCACTCAGAGCGGCTGACTGAAGCTCACGCCGCTGTGCCTCGAGCCCTTCAAAAGCCCGCGAGAAAGAGGCAGGGACTGGGGACTTCTGGACAAGCGCAGGGGGCTGCTGGGTGGTGGGCGGGGCGGCAGGGCAGAAGGCGGGAGAACGCCATCTGCTGCCCCGCCCCCACCCCGAGCGCGGGAGCGGAGTCTGGCGGCCTGAGGAACTTCAGGCCTTTTTTTTTTTTTCCCTTCAGTCCTTATAGTCTGACCACTATGAGGAGCCCCATTTATTTTTCTTCTCAAAGCAAGTTGATGCCTTCAAGGGTTGGACATAAATATTCGATTTCAAGTTAAATACAGACTTAGTTTTAACTCAGCGTTGGGATGAACCGATGCATTTTGTTCTCTTCCTCATTGATTCCTAAACACATAGCCTACCTGACCCCTGTCCTGAAGCCCAGCTTGTCCTTTCACTGTGACCTTGACAAGGCGCCGGGAGGCACCAGCAGCAAGCCTTGTTTGCCTGGAAAATACTCTTTAAGTACTGCCTGTCTATCACAGTAAATGTTGCATCTTAAGCATCTCATTATTTTAGTCTCAAATATTAAACTGTATTTAAAAAGATGCACTGGACATTTATCACCAGGTTTCTGGGTTTTTCTTTTTTGATAACAATTTTATTGAGATATAATTCACCTGCCATACAATTCACTCATTTAGTTTATGGTTCCGTGGTTTGTTATATTTGGAGGTATGCAACATCACCACAAATTTTACAATTTTCACCCCCTTCAAAACCTAGCCCCCATTCAAAATCACTTTCCGTGACCCTCCCTCCACCTAGTAACCAGGCCTAGGCAACTACCAATTTACTGCACATTTCAGATAAATGGAATCATGTAAAGTGTGGATATAGGCTTTCATTTGCCTTGGGTATACATTTGATGTAGGATTGCTAGGTTGCATGGTAAATCTAAGTTTAACCTCTGGAGAAACTACTACTGTTTTCCACAGTAACTGCACAATTTGACATTCCCACCAGCAGTGCATGCGTCTCCCAGTTTCTCCATATCCTCACCAATATATATATTTTTTTGGTACCAGGGATCAAACTTGGGTCCTTGCGCTTGCACAGTAGGCAGCAAAACCACTGAGCTAAATCCCCGGCCCCCTCACCAATACTTTTACTAATTTTTTTTATTATAGCCATTCTAGTGGGTGTAAAGTGGTAACTTGAGGTTTAGATTTGCATTTCCCTGACGGCTAATGATAGTAGCATCTTGTCATGCACTTATTTGTATAACTTCTTTGAAGTAATGTCAGTTCCAGTCTTTTGCCCACTTTTTAAATTGGGTATTTATCTTTCAATTATTGAGAGGTAAGAGCTCTGTGTATATTATGGATACAAATCCCCTATCAGATATGTGATGAGCAAGTAGTTCTTCTCAATCCATGGGCTGTCTTTTCACTTTCTTGATGATGTCTTTTGCAGAACATCCATGCCATTTTGACATAGGCAGGACAGGACTTAACTTATAAAACAATACTTCGGCTTCTTTTCATGTTCCAGTAATAATATAGCCCATTGCCTACTCTTCAAAGAAAGTGGAAAGTGCCCATCTAAATCCTGTCTTAGCTGCACCCCAGGTAGAAATCAGAAATTTCCAGAGTGGCATCCATGTGAAAAATCGATTCTAAGGAGATCTGTTGAGAGCACACGGACCAGAGCAGAGAAAACTCTTGACACCTCCGTTCTAAGAATTTTTTAAAACATGATGCTACATAAAGATAACATATGTTCTTTGTAATCTTGTAACACACAATAGTAGTAATTTTCCTAATATCCCTGTTCATCTGAAATTACTCCAGTTACTGGCACAGCCTTTCAAAGGGCAAAGTTGCCCATTTGCAAATCCCCTGCCAGCATCTTGCTGTTGTTACAATCTCCCCAAATTCTTCTTAGCTCTCTCTGGGGCCCTCTGATTGAGATACACAGGAGTTGTGAACTGTGGTTTGAATACAGTAATATCGTCCTGTAAATACAAACCCTGCTGAGTAAAGAAGCCAGTATTTACCAGCCAATGAGCGCCTTCCTCCAAATTGGCACACACAGCCCACCTCCCCATTGTCTCAGGCCACATGCACACTTGAAGCAGGCCCCCAGTGTCCTTCCAAATCCCCCTGCTCATTGAAGAAAGAACTGCAAAATGTTGGATTAGTGTTTTCTGTGTAGTTGAACAAGTGTTCCCCTCTTACCCTTGCCCCTAACTACATTTCCCTGAAATCTCTTTGCCCTAATGCAGCAGCATCACGGACTATTCTTCTAGATATTAGATGAAATCTCTTTGTACCTTCTCCCCAGGATTCTAATTTAATCCTCTTCCATGTGGCAGCTTTTCAAGGACTGTCTTTAGGGCTATTTCACCTGATACCCCACCTCCCAGACCCCTTGATCAGAGAGTGCTCCAGGACATAACTTTCAGGCTGCTCTCCACTCTGATGATTTCTCTTCTAGAAGATTCCCTGTTTGTCTCTATTGCTGTTCTGTATGTATAAAAGAATTTTACATTAAGCGTTTTTATTATGAGGTAATTGTAGGTTCATTTGCAGTTGTAAGCAACCAGAGAGATCTAGAGTACCTTTGACCCAGTTCTTCCCAGTTCTATAGTTTAACAACTATAGTACATTATCACAACCTGGATATTGACATTGATATTATCAAGACAGAAATAACTCCATCATCAGCCACAGCCATCCATCTCTCACCTCACCCCCACCAACTACTGATGACCTCTAATCTGTTTTCCATTTCTATAATTTTGGCATTTCAAGAATGTTATGTAAATGGAATCATAATATGTAACTTTTTGGGGCTTGGGATTTAGCTCAGTGGCACCACGCCTGCCTCGAAAGCACTAGGTCCTGAGTTCAGTCCCCGGTACCAAAATAATAATAATAATAATAATAACAACAACAACAACAACAACAGCAACAATAACATGTAACTTTCTGGGATTTTTTTTCATTCAACCTAATTCCCCTCAGATTTATCCAAGTTGCATTAGCAGCATTCCATTCAACTGTATGGATGTACCCACAGCTTCTTTATTCACCATTTGAAGGATGTCTGGGTGGTTTCTAGTTTTGGGCTATTATAAATGAAGCTGCAATGAACATTCATGTACAGACTTTTGTGGGAACATGAGTTTTCAATTCTCTGGGAAAACTATTCAGAAGTACAATTCTGGGTCATATGATTATGGGATGTTGAATTTTTTATGAAACTGTCAAGCTGTTTTCTAGAGAGGTTATTCCATATTACATTGCCACCATTATCTACTTTTCCCACATCTTCACCAGCATTTGCTGCTACATTTTTAAAAAGCCATTCTGATAGTTGTGGAGGGCTATCTCAATGTGGTTTTGATTTACATCGTCGTAATGGCTAATGATGTTGAACACCTTTCCATGTGCTTATTTGCCATGAGTTTATCTTTGGTGAAATGTCTGTTCATATCTTGTGCCTATTTTCTAAGTGGAGTTTTTTTTACTGTTGAGAATTGAATGTTCTTTATATATTCTAGACACTAGTTCTTTGGTGAATATGTGGTTCAGAAATATTTTCTCCAAGTCTCTACCTTGTCATTTCATCCTCTTAACAGGGCCTTTCACAGAAAAAGCAAAAAAATGTTTAATCTTGATGAGGCACAATTTTCAATTTTTATATTTTTGGATTGTGCTTTTGGTTTCAAATTGAAGAACTCTTTACATAGCCCTAGATTTTCTCCTGTTTGTTTTGTTTTGTTTTGTTTTTGAGACAAGGTCTCACTATGTAGTTCAAGCTGGCTCGAACTGAGTATGTAGCCCAGGTTGGCCTCAAACTCATGGTAATCTTCCTGCCTCAGCCTTCCAAGTGCTGGGATTATAGGCATGTGCTACCACGCCCTCTCCTAAATTTTTTCCTAAAGTTTTATAGCTTCAATTTTACATTTAAATCTATGATCCAGCCTGAGATAATTTTGGGGTAAGGTGTGAAGTTTTAGGTTGAAGTTCATTTTCTTGCTTAAAAATGTTCAATTGCTCCAGAATCATTTGATAAATAGGCTATCTTTCCTTTGAGTTGCTTTTGCTCCTTTGTTAAAAACCAGTGGTGTGGAGGTTGGGTCTATTTCTAGGTTCTCTGCTCTAGTACATTGACCTATGTATCTACTCCTCCATAATACAATACATTGCCTTCATTGCTGAAGCTATATAGTAGCCTTTAATATCTGGCAAAGTGATTCCTCCTTGATTTTCCTTTGCTAAGATTGTTTTAGCTACATTAGCACGTATGCTTTTCCATATAAATTTCAGAATCGGCTTGCCTATGTCTACAAAGCAAACTTTACTAGGATTTTAACAGGAATTACAGTAAACCTAGAGATTAATTTGGAGATAATTAACATCTTTCGTTATTTTGAATCTTCCAAGCTTTGAACATGATATGCCTCTTCATTTATTTAGATCTTATTTGATTTCTTTCATTAGAATTTTCTAATTTTCAGCATAAAGATCCTGTACATGTTAAGATTATACGCAAGTGTTTCATTTTCCTTAGTATGACTGTAAATGATAGAGTGTTTAACTTTAGGGTCCACGTGTTCAATGTTAGTATATACTACTTGACCTTGCTGAGCTCTTATTAGTTGAAGATATTTTTGTTTTGTTTTCTTAGAATTTTCTATGTAGACAATCGTGTAATCTGCAAATAGTGAGTTTTATGTCCTCTTTCCAATTCATACAGCTTTTCTTTTTATTGCCTTAGTACTGTGGCTAGAACGATGCTGAAAAAGAGTAGTGAGTGAGCACCTTTACCTTGTTCCTACTCTTATGAGAGAAAGTATTCAGATCTTTCACCCTGAGGATCATGTTAGCCATACTGTTTTTGTAGATGCTGTTTATTGAGTTGAAAAAGTTTCCCTCTACTCCTAGTTTTTACTGTCACTGAGTACTAGGCTTCTAAAAATATTTTATGTTTCAACTGACATGAGCATATGATTTTTACTCCTTAGCCTATTGATAGTATGGATTACATGGATTGATTTGCGAAGGCTGAACCAGACTTGAATACT